AACAGAAAAAATCAGAGCAAAAATATTTCTGGTTGAAAGAACCCTCATTCTTCCACCCTTTGGTCCAAGTTTAGCTTCTGGGACGGACGCTGCTCCCAACAAGTTCTTGCTGCTGCTAAAGCTCTCATTGTTTGACTTTTGCAGTGACAAACCGTTGCACCATTATCGTGATCCCCCTTTGGAAAGGAAGTTGCATCCCGTGGCAATGGAGAAGGGGGGGGCCCTGGCCAGAAGCACAGGAACCCTGCTTTGGGAAGCATCCACTGGACATTAAGGCCCAGGGCTGCAAGAGAGCAGAGCAGGCTGAAGCCACAGCACGGACAGCAGGGCCCTTCGCTTCTGCAGCCTGCGTTTATTTTGTGGCCACATCCTGGCAGGATGACTGGAGCTGTGGAGGACACAATTGCCAGGCACAGCCTGGATTGTTCCCTTGGCATCACCCAGGTGCCCATGGCAAACCTAACCCCATTTTCTGTACTGAAAAGACATCCTGCCTTTTGAAGGAGAGAGGCCTTTATTCGGGACTTCGGGCAGGGCGGGGCAAGGGCCCTGAGCCCTCCCCATGCCATGGCGCACTCACCTGGAGGTGGGGCTGATGAGCAAAAGCCATGGGCGGGGGCGATGGCAGAGCCTCCCTCCCCCACAGCTGCTTGGGGAGGGGTGAGCGCCCATGTGGCGGTCAGGGGAGAGTCCGCTGCCCCCAGATCTGTAGCCAGCAGAGGCCCAATCTGCGCCTGAGTGTTCTTCCGCTGCCACGCAGTGGCAGCTTCTAGGCTGAAGCAAGAGCTGGGGATGGAAGCCAGCAGCGTGGTGACTGGCACAGCAACCTTGTGGGGGCACGACACAGGTCCCGCGGCGTTCTCTGTTTTTACAACTGCACCAGCCACGTGATTGAGGAGCCCGCAAGCTGCTGGGGGGGTGGTGGGCCTGGGCCAGGGCTGCTGACGATGAGACAACCCGGGGATTGCCCCGCCCTGCCCGCTCAGCCTGGGAGAGGCCGGCGTGGAGACATCGCCGTAGAAACTGGGGCCGTTGATTTTCACCTCTGCAGTGCTGCTGAGGCCATTAGATGTCCCACAGGGGGAGGCTTTCTTGGGCCTGTCCGCGCAGGAAGGGTATGGGGTCTCGTCCTGCAAGGAGTTCTGGGGGATGAGCCCAGAGGTGCAAGAGGCTGGGCAATTGGGAGGGGCGTTCGGCTTGTCAGCTGCCTGGTACGGACTGGTGAGGGAGCCGTCGGCCGCCAGCACCGGCTTC